CTCTTTTCCCAGGTGACTCCAGTTATGTCCAGCTGACAAAAAGCTAACTGTGCACCCCACCCTCAGGAACAGGGTGGCATAGTACTCAAGCACATAGGCCTAAAAGCCCTAGAACGAACTATCTTCAAGTTCTTTTGCCATTTTTTTTTCCTACAATGCATAAATCTTCACTTATAGAAAAGGATGTTACTATTACCCTCCAATTATTCTTGAAAATCTGGACGTTCTGTGTAAAATTAAGACACTTACTGAAAGCCAGAGATAAATAAGCAATGAGACCAAAATTTGAACCCAATTCATCCAATATGCATAATCTGTGTCTTTACTGAGTTACACTGCCCAGACTTGAAAAAAGCAGGGTGAGATTCAAGAGTTGCCAGCCATATACCACTTCTAAACCAAAAGTACCTGTGCACTGTTCTGTTTTTAGGGTTTCTTTAAAGATTTATTATTTTATGTGTATGCCTTTGAGAGTTCCTATGCATCATATGTGTGCAGGAAAGGACAGAGGGCATCAGATCCTTTGGAGCTACCATTCATTTGGGTACTGGGAACCGAACTCGGGTCCTCTGAAAGAGCAGTGAGTGTTCTTAACTGCTGAGCCATCTCCCCATCTCCCCGGCGCCTGGCATTTAGGTTTTTGAAACCTGTCTCAGAACCCTGAAATCCTGATGCTGCTGTCACCAGTCACACTCCCCATCCCACCCCAACCCCTGGTGCTCTAATATACATTTTCAAACAAGACAACTACATAAACACTTCTCTGGCCATAGAGTCTTTTCTACAATTTAAACAAAAGCACAGAGTTAAGTTTTGTAAGTTAGATTTTAAACCAAAGATGTCCTGGGTGGTCCCACATACACACAGGTAAGTCCCATCAAAAGAGACAAAGAAGTGAACACCTTCAACAGCCCTGAGGGAGAGACTGTAATAATCAGTCTCCTCCTTTCTGTTCCTTTGGGTGCAAAGCCCCCACCACAGGGTCTGGGGGATCATACTTCAGCCCAGAAACTGGCCACAGATGTAGTGAACAGTGAAGCCGTTACTTTTGATCATAGACCTGCAGGAGAACGTGAGCCAAACTGTGCATGTTATTATGTTCATAAAATAATATTTTCAAATGAAACAAATGAAAATTGATTCCTGAGAAAATGCAGATGATGAGGATGTAAATAAATAAGCATTATAAAGACCCCACAACTTCTCCTTCTCCCAGCCTTTGTTTATCCATTACCGAAATTATATCTAGGCATAGGATTTTGTCTAAAAGCTTGTGTAAACACATCTATACAAGCCCTTTCACATCTAGTGGTTCCCCCAAAACTTTGATGCCCTGAAAAAAATCTAATTATTACTGGTAACTTTAAAAGATCACAGTAATTTATTTTTGTCAAATGTGACTAAAGATTAATGGATACAATCAGGAATAATTTGGTAAAAACATATCAAACACAGAGAAAGCAAAATTTGTTGTTAAGTGAAGCATCAAATATAATAAAAGAGCAAATTCCATGAATGAACAGCAACAATGCGCAATTCATTAACCAAAGGCCCGTGGTTATTTCACACTTCAGAGGGCCACTGATATAATCAGAAACCACAGTAAGAGGATAAACACAGACTGCCTTCAGCACCTCCTTATATGTTTTAATTATAAACACTATGCCCATCCCTTCTGTAAACCATCAACTTAGAAAAGACAGGCAAGTATTTTAAAGTGGTGATCAATATGTCACCAAGTATTAAATGTATATCATTTTCTTAGATGTTATTAACTGTAAGATTCTCATGGAAACTCTAATCATCATCCTTTTGGTCATTGTCATCACCATCATCATCATCATCATCACCATCATCATCACCATCACTATCACTACCCACAATTCCCTGATCACTACCAAATGCCCACTTCACTGCTCAAAGGAAAAAAAAATGTATTAGTTCATATCTTACTAGTTCTTGTATGCTCAGAGCTTGTTCAGCACTTAACTCATAACAGTAGTGTTTTAAATAAGAAAGAAAAAAATGAGGCTGGAGATGCAGTGTAGTCGTTATGTACTTGGAAGGCCTGAGGCACCAGGTTTAGTCTCCAACACACACACACACACAAACACAAAAATAGCCAGACACGCTGTCACACGCCTGAAATCTAAGCAGTTGGGTGGCTAAGTCAGGAGCATCTAACGTTTGAGGCCAGGCTGGGTGACCAAGTCAGCTCATGTCTCACCAACAAGTATGTGAAGAGTGACTGAAAAAGATATCCATCATCAACATCTATCCTCTGTAGACATGAACACTCACAAAAACCATACACAAATGTACATACAAACATACAACACACAAAACCATACACAAATGTACATATAAACATACAACACAAACACAAAAACCATACACAAATGTACATACAAACATACAACACACACACAAAAACCATACACAAATGTACATACAAACATACAACACACAAAAAAAAAACCATACCCAAATGAACATATGTAAATACATCAACACACTCACAAAAAGAAGCAAGCAAAACACTTCATTCACTTAGTGAAAATATATAAAAGAGCATTTTTCCATTGACAAGAAAGAAGGAATACAGCATACATAAAAAACTACTAAGTACACTGTTATATAACTACTAAAGCACGCTGTAGGAGAGTACCTACAACTGATCTTTTTTTAAGCAGAAATAGAGACACAAAAGAAAACAAGGGTGACACTTTTCAAAAGGAGAAAAGACGCAGCCCATGGTGACTGTTTCATTCTGATTCCCTTACGGTCCTCCAACCACCCTGGCTCTCAAGCTGCCCTACCTGCCACCCTGGCTTCTTCAGCTCCAGATCTGTCTCTAAACAACTTCTTCTGCTTCTATAAATCCTTTCTCGTTTTCTCCATTTATTATTGATAACTAGTCAATTTTCAGTTCAGGATTCTGTCTATTTTCTCGGCAATACTAGGTGTGCACACATACATTCATATGTTCTCCCTCTCCTCCTGCTCCCCTTCCTCTCCTTCTCTCTGTCTCTCTCTGTCTCTGTCTCTGTCTCTCTCTGTCTCTCTGTCTCCCTCTACTTCCGTCCTGCCTCTCCCTGATGGATAACAATCTCTATTTACAAATTTGACAAAGAAGCTCCCCTTTCTCTATTACCTCCTCGCTAAGGCAGAAGTATGTGTTTCTCTATCACCTTTTCTATAAGGCGGAAGTATGCATTTCCCTATTACCTTTTCTATAAGGCGGAAGTAGGTGTTTCCTTATTACCTTCTCTATAAGGCAGTGGTGTGTTTTTTCAGCACTGAAGTCCCTTCCTCCCACACATAAGTGGAACGTCGCACACTGGTTCTGTCTGTTCTAGATCAATTCTAAGTGCAGGGTCCCTTTCTTCTCTTTTAGAATCTTTACTCCTGTTTCTGTCCCTGAGAAACAAACACCAGCTTCTGTGCACGCTAGGGCACACCTGTGACAGCCCTTTCCCCATCTTTCCCCAGGACTCTGCTGCACCCTCTCTTCTTCTGTGACTTGCATATTAAACTTCAGTCCTGCCCTGAATTGTTCCTCCTGTCTTCCCAAAAGAAAAACAGGAAAAAGTCCTTCAACAGATGGCCTTCTTCTCAATCCCACTTCACCATGGCATTTGTCTCCATGTCTCTGGAGCGTCTGCAGACGTCCCTGCACCTTCCAAATTACCAACCCTTTCTTCATCTCCCAGATCTCAGGAGGCCTGCTCAGGAAAGTCAAGGCCTTTACCTGGCACACCTTCTGCCTCTCAACTCTTTCCTCATAATCTTCCTTGCTGGCCTCGTGCTCCAGGTTAAAGCCCTGCCATCCCCACATGCACTGATTCCATGCAGTTCTGCCAGCAGATTCCTTTGGGCCAGGCCCTTCTCAGTAAGTAATATTTGCCTATTAAACTGCTACACATGCCAGGAGCTTTTCAGCTCCTGATCACTCTCGGTCAATGAGAGAGAGTTTATACTTACAGAAATATGTACCAGCCTCTGTAATGCCTCTGAACACAATGACAGATACACATATTCTCTGTAACGTGGTCTATACACAAAAGTTCGCTAAAGGCACTGACCATAGATCATCTCTTTATTCTCTTATAGTACCTTGTATACTACTACGCATGCATTAAGTACCCCAAATATTTGCAAAATTGGAATGAAAAGAATGATTATATGTTTTTATATAAATCAAGAAAATAACCAGCGATAGGAGGGAAAATAAGTTTCCTGACTCCTACTAGAGAAAGGAATCTCTTTGGCACAGAAAATTGTCACCTAGAAGATACTAATTCTTTTTTTCTTTTTTTGGTTTTTCGAGACAGGGTTTCTCTGTATAACAGTCCTAGCTGTCTTGGAACTCACTCGGTAAACCAGGCTGGCCTCGAACTCACAGAGATCCGATGCCTCCGCTTCCCCAGTGCTGGAATTAAAAGCGTGCACCACTACCACCTGGCGAAGATATTAATTCTTTTGAGTAGAGCAGTTCCAAACACAACCTGCCATAAGGATAGAAATATATCCCCTTTCCACTCTCCTGCTCAGGCTGGCCAGAAAGCTAAGCTCAAGCTGCCTCGTGATAACTGTAGACTGCTCTTCCCACCTACTTTAGCATCTTTGAGTATAATCGCCCTCAAATTATACACTATGATTGGAGACATGAAATTTGATGAGAACTGGGGTCAATATGATAATAGAGCAGACTCTAGTGTGTCTATATTTTAAATTTATCATGATTCAGAATAAACAGAAAAATACTTAGGTTACAAGGTTTATATGAATGAATTTTCAGGATTATAGAGTTTTATTTTCAAATACATCTGCTGGAGTGAGATATGTATTTACCATTATATTTAACTTTAAAACTGTTGCGAGCACCTAGATTTTTGAAAACTGCAAGAGTATTCACGAAGGAGGGAAAATAGGGGAACACCGAGAGAAATGTGAGCTCAGGATCAACACTGTCTTCACTTACAATGAAGATGACTCACCTCTGGTGACAGCGTCCAGGGCACAGCCACTTCCTGTGGCTCCTCCTCCAATAACAAGGATGTCAAACTCCGAGGTGTTCTGCAAAGTCATGAGCTGAGCTTCTCTGGAAGGAGGCTCCCTGTTCACAGGCTCTGTGAGGCACTCAGCTGCTTCCACATAAGCCAGGCTCACCTGAGGGAACGTGGACAGGTTCCGGTCACACATCTGGAATGCTAATTTAGCAAAGTGTACACTATACTATAAAGAAATTCGTAATGGAGGTGAGGCCTACCAGAGCTAGCCCACGGTCCACACATAGTCCCAGGAGCAGTTGTGTGGGAGTGGGCTTTATTTCTTTACATAGGTCTCAGCTATTTACCCACAGAACACCTGGTTTCAAATTCAATATCTCAAATGTTTGTTTGAGTTTTAAATATAGCAAAGTTTAATTATTTCTAACACTATGTAGCAATTCCCAAATGTTTTACCTAAACCAATCTGAGGAATCAAAAGGAAGTATTTTACCCAGTCACATCCAACCATTCAGATAAAATTTAAAACTGCAGACATCATGTGAAAAGAGAAAATAGCACTTTATAACCATTGTGCATTTTCTTATGAGTATGTTTCTTATTCAATTCTCAGGACAAAAATATGCTCTAGATTCTGTGATTTGTTGGTTTAAATCAACACAATCGAAAAGTCTGCTTAGCAGAAGTTAGTGTCTTATTTAGATAAATCTATGAGGCACAATGGAAATATTTTTCAAAGATTTTAATAAGAGGCTTTCCCATCAATATTCAAATGTAAAGGTAAAGATTTCCAATATTTACAGTACATTATTTAGATTTTTGAAAAATTAATAGTAATATCATTCAAACTAGGCATAGTCCTCCTAAGTTTCTTGGTTCTTTAATAAAGAACTCATCATCAGCCCAAATCAAAAATACTTGTCCTTTTGTTGCTGTTGTTTATTTTTACAAAGTGTTTGCCTAGTACATGTAAGACTCTTTGATCCATACCCAGGACATCCGCAAGCAAAAAGGATTTGACCTCTCTGCTGCCCCACATCTACAATTCCTACTCACGGGAGAGACAAAGGCAAGAGGCCATCCTAGGGTTCATAGTGAGTCACAGACCCAGCCTGTGTTACAAGGATGACAACTTGTTAAAAAATACACACACACACACACACACACACACACACACACACACGAAAGCGTGCCAGAACCAGAAGTCAAGGTCAAACACACAGGAAAATAGATATTTGGGATTTTTTTTTCTCACACTACAGTGTAGATTCATTTACCACAATGCAGAGTAATCGACCCATGTTGCTTGCTCCTTTAGTTATCCAAAGAGGACAACTTCTCTTTCCCTCCACCCCTTCACAGGATCAGCACAGAGTAGAGTCTTCACTCTCCCACTCGCCCCTAAATCACCTATGAAGCTCAGAATGAGCAGGGCCTAGCTTGCTCAAGAACAGGAGCCCTCAGGTCTTCAAGGCAGGGTCTCTCCGTGTATCTACAAGATGGCTTGGAATTCTCTATGCAGCCCAGACTGGCCCCAAACTGGCCCTGTGCTGGCTAAGGGCTGGGCTTACAGTGTTCACCAGCATATCCAGCTGTGGTTACTGCTCTTACATGGAGATTATGCTACTCAGTCAAGATAAGGGATTTTTTAAAAATTCAGATAAACCAAACTACTCCCTATGACTAGAATACCTATTATCAAGTCAATTGGATCTCTATGAAAATAAAGCCAGAAGTCTAGAGAACATTGGGAAAACCCTGTCTGGGGCCACAGGGGTCCAGCTTGGGTCTCTGCACCCATCTTGGAAGTCTGACCAACTGAGTCCAATCCCTAGGAGGGGAGAGCAGACTCCAACAAACTGTCCTTTGACCTCCGTACTCACAACACGGCGCATTAATTTTTAAATTATTAGTTCAAACGCCAACTCCCGTTCCGCAGGTAACTCCTCCTATGCATGCATTAATTAACGGTTTCCTTGTGCAACAAGCCAGATAGAAGGAGCTGCTATGACCTGTGAAGGACTGGACTCTGCTAGCGATGGTCTTTGTCTTCCTCACCTAATGCGAAGGAAGAGAGAGCACACGAAGAGACAGTACACACACACATAACACGTTTGTGGAAAAAGCAAATGTCAGAGTGGGGGGTGGGGCAGACTATGGCCACTGTGGGGAGGGAGGAAGAGCTGCGCCATGGCAGATGGGAAAGACTTGGACATGGGGCTGACAAGTGACTAAACCGCCGGAGCATTTTCACACATCAACAGAATTGCTGACATTTTCTGCCTGGTAAGTTTTCTAGAAATAGTCGAGAAATAAGTTTAAAGACCGTATTACGGTATAGTTCATTAGAACTTGTTAATCCAAAGAACTCCCTATTCTGTTCTAACCAGGAAGACTGAATGAGGGCGTCTCCTTGGCGAGTGGGGGAAAGGTGAGGGGCCTCAGTCGTTCCCACTGGTTACAAGGTCCTGTCAGCTTCCTGACCTTCTGTGGGAACAGTCTCAGCCTGTCTTATCTTAATGTTAAAAACACCTCTTTCGTCTTTATATGATGGCTGCATGCCTGTGATCTCAGTGCCCAAAAGGCAGGGAGGCAGGAGCATTACAAGTTCAAGGCCAGCATGGACTACAGGGCAAGATCTTGTCCAAAACAACACCACCATTTCCATGTATGGAATATGTTTCCAGCATCTTATATGTTTCCAACATTTATCCTAAAAATTCATAAAATATTCAAAAGCCCCTAAATTACCCAGCCTTAGTATTTACCCACTAAACTCACTATTATCTAGATTTTCACATACACACCATTACCCTCTTCATCACAAGACATCCCATGCCCACAATACTACTACATCTGATCACAAACAACTGATTGATCACTCAACTCAGTGTCCAAAACAACTATTTTTCTCCTGCTTTTTGTACCTCTCTTTCTTAGCTTCCTTTAGATAGATAGTACTCAACTGCCCCAACAGTAATGAGTGAGTACCATGCCTCTTAGGTATGCCCTGTTCATTCTTTTCAGATGGCTATCAACTCTCTAGAGAATCTCAGGTGTTCCATATCATCCAATACTCTTCATGCCACAATGATTTCTAATTTGTAGAACCCCAGATAGCAAACTGGTATATGTCTCAATATTAGTCTCATCACTTTATCTCTCCAAACTATTCTTTTAACCTACCAGCAGTCGGCATCCTTGATAATTACCCATCTGAAATGAATGCCAGTGTCCACACTAAAACTTGTTAGCAGAGGTTCAACATTGACTTTATTTGTAATTGTGCCAAAGCAAGGGGTAGCGTGGAACCTCAAAGTCCTTCAACTGGCGTCTTAGATACTTTCCCAGTTGCTTTGACAAAATACTCCGACACTACTTAAAGAAAGGGTTTATTTTGGCTCACAATTTGAAGGTACAATCTATCACGTCAGGAAGCCAAAGCAGCAGGAGCTTGAAGTAGCCAGCAGTCCAACAGCATCCAACCTCAGAAAGCTGGGAGTGGTGAATGCCTATGCTCAGATCTTCCCATCTCTATTAACCTAATCAAGATAATCCCCCACTGGCATGCCCAGAGGCCCACTGCTGAGGGACTCTCATCTGCTTGACAACTGAGGTTAACCATCACACCTGGCGGGTGTCTAAACTGTGGTAGACCTCTGCCATGGAGAGTAACGGGTGACTTTACAAAGAACTAGTGATGAAAAGAACACATGAGCCTCGAATGCATTCTGCTAAGTCAGTGCTCTGCAAATTAAAGTCTGAGCCCACATTCTACTGGGGCACAGACACACCTAATCAATTCATGCATGAGTGCCCATGATGGAAATGCAGAGTTGAGTGGTCACCACGAAACTGCGGCCTACAGGCCTGAAAATGCTGACTTGCTTGCCCCACACAGACAAAGCAATCAATTAGTCTCAGTGCTAAGCAAAAGAAGCCAGACTTGGCGTGCGTGCGTGCGTGCGTGCGTGCGTGCGTGCGTGCGTGACCTTTAGTCCCAGCACTCCAGGGGCAGAGGCAAGCGGATCTCTTAGTTCGAGCCCAGCTTGAACCACAGCGTGAATTCCAGGACAGGCAGGACTCACACAGACACCCTGTCTGGAAAAACCAAAAAAGAAAGGGGGGGGGGGGGGGGTAAAGCCAGACTTGGAAGTCCTGTACTACATGATTGTGACCATTCTATATAAACAATGTTCAGCAAAAAAAAAAAAAAAAAAAAAAAGTACGGGATCAGCAAATAAGTCAGTGATTACAGGTCCTGGGGAAAGACTGACTACAGAGGAGCGCATTGAGGTTGCCAGAAATGCTCTGTAACTTAACGGTGGTCATGATTACATACCTGAGTGTGTTATAAAGAGTTGATTTCACTACATTTTAAGCTGTTCCCCAAAATGTACCTCAATAAAATTGACTTAAAAATAATAACCAACTGTGGCTACAGCACTTACGCACTAGGCAGTTTTATAAAGCGTGTGCTTTTTCTCTGCTCATTGAATCCTCATAGTAAACCTGCATCAGGTACATTAATGGGGGGGGGGGGGTGACTACGGCAGCAGTTGTCCTGAGGAGAGCCTCCAATTTAAAAATATATACTTACATACACACACACACAGTACTATTGAGGGTGATTTATTTAATTTGACAGTACTTTAAAATAACGTTTTATTTTTGTTTATTTCTTTCAAAAAAAAAGCTGGAAAGTGTTGCAAATGAGAAGCTAAGCACCACGCTTATTTTAGAGGCAGTAAACACAGCCTAAGGCCCTACTTAGAATTATGACAGGAGAAAGACTCGTTTTGGCTTCATATGGCTTTCAGTAACAAAAACACATCTGCACTCCACCTTCTCTAGAATATGTTGATGTCAGGGAACTGGGGGGGGGGGGGGGGGGCGAGAGATAATAAAGCAGTGGTGGGAAGTGATGACTCACTTTAAGTAAAGGACCTTTGTGTTCTACACCGCCTCCCAGATCTGGGTCTCCCTTTTCCAAGCCTGACAGTTTGATTAGACAGGAATCTGGGAGGAGAGATCTGCTGATGAATGGATCCAAAATGTCCCAACTTGACTGAGAGACCAAAATGCTCATGAGATCGCAGATGCTGGACTCAGCACCACGCACTCAACAAATGACTGTTTTGGGAAGTCCTTCAAGCATTC